CCGCCGCCGCCGTTGATTTTGACGATCATGATGTTGATGATGCTGATGATTCAAGTGGCTTCTGCCATTCCGACTCCCCCATAGCGGAGTAGAGATGTCCAGGGCGTTCGGTAGGGTATGTTGGAGCTCGAGTGCTGGTTGATTTTGTTCACGCTCACCCCTAAGGGGCCCCCAATGGGGGCCCCTTAGGTGCGTCTCGGGGTTCTCTGGGGGGCTTCTGGGGCCATGAGAGGGGAAAGGCTCGAGATGTCAGTTCGTATTGCCCCTCTTGGGCTTCTCGTGCGGCCCTCGTCTCGTCGGCCGCCTTAGGGACCTCTGGGGCCGTCGTGGGGCCATCTTGGGGCTGTATTGAGCCGTCTTCGGGCCCTCTTAGAGGCCTCATGGGAGGTCTTGGGACGATCGAGAGGACCCCTTGGGCCGTCTTGGACGCCGCCAAGACGAGAAAGGCGAGTATGTCGAACATGTATGCTTTTCTTCAGTGTGTGTGTGTGTTTGTGTGTGTGTGTGTGTGAGGTGTGAGAGAGACAATTCTGCGTCTTGTGGCCCTCTCGGAGGTCCTCTGGGAGCACTCTTGGGCCGTACCGGGGGCCTCGCGGGCTGCCTTGTAGCTATCTCGGGCCGTCGCGGGCTTGCCTCGGTATCACCCCAACATATTTATACTATATGCGCGTCGCCCCCCCAGGGGCGACGCGCGCACCGAGAAATCTTATAGTATATGCGTCGTGGCGGGCGCTTTCTGGTCACACCGCTCGGGATACGATATACTACAAGATGGATATACTACATGTTCGGGTCGGACGCGCGCCTCCAAATATAGTATTAGTATGTCTCTGTGCGTCCCATTGCCCTGGGCCGTCTCGACGCTCTCTTGGACCGTCTCGGCGCTCTGTCGAGAGCCCCCTTGGGGTGCGACGAGGAGCCCGCCCGCCCCCCCCCTCCTAGAGCGGGATTCTGGACCCCTGGGAGGGGGGAAACGGGGGAGGGGGGCATCCAGAGGCATCGCACGCCTCTTCGCCACTGGCAAGCGGGGGATCGGCGGATCGCCAGTGATGGTGATGTTGTTGATGGTCATGCTGATGATCCCAGTGACGGTGACGGTGGTGCTGCTGGTGGTATAATGGTGATGACGGTGATGCCGGTGGTTATTGTGATGGTGATGGGTATGGTGGTGGTGGTGATGATGATAAAGAGGAGGATGAGGATGAGGATGAGGATGAGGATGCTGCTGATGATGATGATGATGATGACGATGATGATGCTGCTGATGATGCTGATGCTGATGCTGATGATGATGATGATGATGATGATGATGATGACGATGCTGATGCTGATGATGCTGATGATGATGCTGATGATGATGCTGATGATGATGATGCTGCTGCTGCTGTTGCTGATGATGCTGATGATGATGATGCTGATGATGATGATGATGATGATGATGATGATGATGATGATGTTGTTGATGATGATGATGATGATGATGATATGATGATGATGATGATGATGATGATGATGATGATGATGATGATGATGATGCTGATGATGATGATGATGATGATGATGATGATGATGATGATGATGATGATGATGATGATGATGATGATGATGATGATGATGCTGATGATCATGCGGAGGAGGAGGAGGAGGAGAAGGAGGAGGAGGAGGAGGAGGAGCAGGAGGAGGAGGAGGAGGAGGAGAAGGAGGAGGAGGAGGAGGAGAGGTCCAGACGCAATGACCATTCGGCCAACATCGTTCTTACGCAAAAGAGGAGGAGGATGAAGGGTACGGAGGGTGCGGTCTCGCGAGTCCGCCCGAACCGAGCAGACCGCGGCGGGGCCTCAGATGAGGCCGAGGAGCTGGCTGGGCGCCACCGCGATGATCGCCCCAGCCCAGCCCCGCGATGCGGCATGCGGCCAGCGCAACGCGCCGCCGCCGCCGCCGCCTGGCGTCAGCCCGCGCCCACCCCGCCAAACTGTTGGCCGAGCGCGAGCACGAGGACGGCGAAGTCGACGCATTCAGGCAACGCCCTAGTACGTGTCGCCGCCCTCGCCGCCGCTGGACTCTTGGCGCAGGCCCTGGGCGGCGTCCTGCTCCTGCAGCGCCGCCTGCGCGCCGAGGCGGCCCTGGCCCTCGCGAGGCGCCGCCGCCGCCCCAGGCCGCGGCCTGCGGCGCACAGCCCGAGCCCAGTCCAGCGCGGGCGGCAGGCCCGCAGGCGCCGCCAGCCAGCTGCGGAGGCAGTACACCTCGTACCTCCGCATGCTGTCGGTGACGTACCGCTGGCTCAGCGTGAGGCCCGAGCGATACCTGGCGTAGGCACCGCGCAGCCTCGCTCCGCGGCTCCAGGCGCGGCGGCACCACGCCTCCGCCAATTGCCGAGCCGTGCTGCCCATCGCCGGCACCTGGGCTGGGCGAGGACCGCCTCCGCGTACGGGACGCAGTGGTCGAGCCAGTCGCTGGCCGCACCGTCGGCGTCGAGCAGCGGCTCGATCCACCACCGTCCCCAGCGGTCCAGCCTGCGCTCTAGGGCCAGCGGCCGCGGCGGCCGTTGCGGCAGGGCCGCCCTGGGCGGCGGCCCCGCCACGCGGATGCCGCGCCGCCGCAGCCGCGCGGCAAAGCCCGCAGGCGCAGCCCTGGGGGCCGCCCCAGCCCCGCCGCAGAGCCGTTCGGCCCGCGCATGGAGCCGCCGCAGCAGTGCCTGCCTCCGCACTGCCCGTGATTCGGCGCGATCACCAACAGCGCACCCCGTGTCGGTCAACGCCTCCGCCTCGCGCGTCGCCACGCGCCGCCACAACACCTCCAGCCGCTCCTGCCAGGACGGCGCTGGCGCCGCACAAACGCTGCGGCGCGCCACGACCTCCGCAAGCAGGCGGCTGGCCTCCGTGCGCCCGCCTCTCGGCAGTTCAGGCGCCCAGCGTGTCGCGGTCCCCTGCGCTTCCGCCAGCGGGGCCTCCTCCGCGCGCCCGCCTCGCAGCGCTGCGGGAGCCCCGCGTGTCGCGGTCTCCTGCACAATGGCAATCTGGGCCTCCCCCGAGCGCCCGCCACACGGCGCTGCGGGAGACGCGGTCCCCTGCACGTCCGCCAGCGTGGCCTCCACAGAGCCTTGGGCCGCGACCGCCTCGTCGGTGCCTTCCTCGGAGCTGTCGTCGACGGATGTGCGCTCGTCGGGCACCAGCGTGCCCGTAGCCCATGACCTGCCCGTCTTGGGGGCCAGCCCACGCAGCAACCCTTTCTTCCTGGCCACCAGGTTGCTGACGTAGGTGCGCTGGTGGTGCCCCTTGTCGGTGGGCGGCCCGCAGCACGCCTTCTGCAGCCCCCTCGCCGGTTGGGTCTGCGTCCACGCGACGCAGACCTCGCAGAAGATGGCGGGCCCCGCGCGCCACAGCCGATGCCCGAGGTGCAGCACCGCGCCGCGGCCGTCACCCTCGTGCAGCCAAGGGTTCGGCCCCTGCGCCAGCTTGCAGGGTCTGCCGCCGTCGCACGGCTGCATCGCCTCGGCCTCCAGGCCTTCGGCGTCGCCCATCCAGTATGGCCCCGCACCGAAATGTGCCACCTCGGCCGCCGCCTTGAGGCGCGCCCGCGGCGTCGGCAAACAGCTCGACCGGACGAACTGCTGCGCCGCCGCGACTGCCTCAGCTCGGGATCGGCGCCCGCAGTCGGTGCACAACATCCCGCGCTTGCCCTGCACGCGCACCGGGGAGTGCTCCACCACCGTCGGCTTCGGCACGGGCGGCGGCGGCGCCGCGGGCACGTAGCGCGCCTCGGGGGCCTGGTCCCCGATGGCCAGGCAGCGCTACATGGCCCATCCGATGTAGTCCGCCACCTGCTCGAAGTACTGCAACTCGGTGGCGTAGAACTCCGTTTGCACCTGGGGCACCGCGTGCTGCGAGGCCCCCTGCTTGGCGAACCAGTCCGCCCACAGGTTGCCCGCGTGCAGCACTGGGTGAAGCCCCGCCGCCAGGTGCCCGTCGACGTCCTTGTGCGCGGGGGCCCAGAACACCTCGGGGCTACGTGGCTGCTGCCGCAGGTGCCTCCACGCCGTGGCGTGCACCGCCTTGGCTCGCTCCAGCTCTGGCCCCCAGCTGCTAGCCTCCTGGGCCAGCGCCAGCAGATCGGTGGCCACGAATCGCGCCTGCTGCCCCAGGAGCTTGGTGACCTGCAGGGTCGCGCGTCGCTCGGCGCGACCCGCCGTCTGCAGTCGGCCAGGAAGGGCCCCGAAGGCCGCGCGAACGGGCGCCCCTTTGGAGCCGCGCTGGACCAGCGGCCACCCGCAGCGCCGCAGCTCGGGCATGCTGCTCGCAAAGCCCGAGCCATCGGTGAACGCAATTTTCCCGCGCTGCTCGTCGCTCGTGCCGCTCCAGCCACCCCGGGCCCTGACCCCCGCCTGGTCGGCCGCAGGCGGCGCGCGCGGCGGCGTCGCGGGGGGCCCGACCTCGTGCGCGAACCCGCTGAAGTCCGCGACCCCCACGCCGCCTGCCTGCAGGCCCTTGTCGCGCATGGTAGTCCAGATTTGCTGCAGTCGATCAGGGGGGGCGTCCTGCTCTACCGACGACCGATTCGCAACGAGATGTGCCGTGCCAAGCTCGCTGCCGCCAGAGGGGCCAGGCTGGCGCGCGCGCGCGCGGCGGGGCTTCGCAGTCCTACAGCCCGTGGCCAGGGGCGCCCTCTTCCGCCCCGCGCGCCAGACAACTCCCGTCGGGAGCGACCCCAACGTCTAGCTGCCCTTGCCTGGCCCACGGCGTACCTGCCCAGTGGATCCTGAGGCCAGTGGCAGCAGGCCCTTCGGCAACAGCGGCACCCTTGCCACCCGCGCACAGCCTCGGGACCCGCGTCCAGATCGGCCCCGTGGGCTGCGCGCCGCCGAAATGGCTCAGGATCTGTCGCCCTTGCCAGCGGCTGACCCCTTCGACGAGGTAAGCCTTGAGGTCCGACGGAGCGGTGGCGAGCAGGTTGATGTGCTGCTCCTCGTCAGTGACCAGCGCCAGGCTGGACCGCATGTACCAGCCGATCCTCCAGAGCGCGAGCGTCGTCGAGGCGATCGGGCCGCGCGCCGGCCCCCGCGTCGTTGTCTCGATCAGCCGCTGCGTGATGGAGGCCCACGCTCGCTGAAACCTGCCCAACGATGTCCTCTGTTCCCAGACCCAGCTGGAGTACCTGGCCACGAGCGCCACCGTCGCCTCGTAGACAGGATCAAGCCTCGCGCTGCGCTGCGTGGCCAGGTAGATCGTCGCGCCCGACGGACCTGGCCGCGCACCCGCCAACCGGCTGGCCTCAGCCCGCAGCCGCTGCATTTCGTCGTCGGAAATGCTCACGACGCTCGCGTCGTGGCCGGCGCTAGGGGGCAGCCCCGCGTGCCGCGGCGCGGTGACCTTTGCGGCCAGCAGCATGCCTCAGCGCCGCCAGGCGCCCTCGCCGCCGCGCCAGCGCCTTCAGCCGCAGCTTGGTCCGTTGTCGCTGGATCCTGCATCCTCCAAGGTCATGCCTTAGATTGCGAGCCCAGCGTAGCAGCTGCAGGCCACGGGGTCCCGCCTGCTTCCTGCGCTCTGCGGCTAGGCCCTTGGGCGAGGTCGCGTAACCAGACTTGGCAGGCTGCGCGATGATGCCCAGGTCCATGGCCTCCTCGCGGAAGCGCGCGCCCGCGGCCCACAAGACGCTGACGTTGCTGCCCGCGGTCCTGACCCACTGAAGGGCTGAAGGGTGACGTCGTCCACGAGGGCCTTGGGAGTGGCGCCCATGTAGCGCGCCCGCTCCAGCACTCGGTGCATCGGCACCGACGCGAGCGCGCGCGCTTGCGTGCATCCAGCCGGCCCCCCCCGGTAGGACACAACCTCGTGGGGCGCCGAGCCGCGCGCTTGCAGCCGCCTGGGCTGCCTGCGCAGCTCTACTGAAAACCAGACCAGCGGCAGCGGCATCTTGAGCAGCCGCGCCTCCCGGATGAGGGCCTCGGGGATCACCGCCCCAAAGAACTTCCAGGCGTCCAGGGGCACGGTGGCCACCTGCTCCTCCAACGCGACCGCCGCCCCGGTCTCGAGGTTCAGGTCGAACGCTGCATCGGGCGACGACCTGCCCGCGCCGAGCCCCCATATGTCGACGCTGGGGTACTGCGTGAGCCAGCCCTTGGAGATGCCCGCCCGCGCCCTCGACCACCAGCGCGCCATGGACTGCGTGAGCGCGATGGGGCGGCACCCTCCAGAGGGCTTGGGCAGCCGACACATGGCGTGCCACGGGCGGGCCTCAGGGCACGCGCCCAGCTTTTCCATGCTCGTGAAGAGCTGCGTGCAAACATACATGCCGTCGCCGGACAGGAAAGACAGGGCGCGCATGCCTATCTTGGCAGGCCCCATCGCCGTGCCCGCGAGGAATGATAGCGCAGCGCTCTTCATTTTGTCGACGGTGAGTTCGGGCAGCGCTTCCCACTCCTCAATGTCCGCAGGCCTGTGCGCCTGCTGCAGCCCATGGCGCCGCCGCACCTTTGCCCGCGGCTGCGTCTCCCTGTCGCGCACCAGGTGCGGGCTGGCCGTGACCATCTCCTGCAAGTCCCTGACATCGGAGCACCGATGGGCGCGGCCAGCGCCGTGGGAGAAGGACTCGTTGGCCCACTTGACCCACTCCTTCTGCTGCACCGCAAGGGCCGCTTCATGCTGACCGTTTGCATGCTCCGCGACCCTCGACGCTTGGCCCGCGAAGTCGGTCTGCGCGAGCATCGGCACCGCTGGCCGAAGAAGTCCAGCACCCAGTGCGGCAGCGGCGCCAGCGTGCCGCGGCTGGCAATGTTCTTGTCGAGGTACGCCGCCGCCTCCAGCAGGAAGCCCGCCAGCTTGTCAAACTGGGCGTCGAACAGCGGGCAGGGGAGGCTGGCGCCGTGGAGTTGGCGGGCCGCTTTGTCGACGTACGCCCCGACCCCCCCCAGGTGCCGAGCCCGCCTCGACGCCGCGCGGCACGCCGTGGCCCGGCGACCAAGCGCGGCCCGGCGTCGAGGGGGTCGCCATGTGCGACGAGAGTCGTCTCCAGAGCGCCAGACCTGCCGACGTACTTGGTCCTGTCGTGCCCGACGACGTCGTTGCGGCCCAGAAGTTTCTGCCCGGTCGTAGCCACCACAGCGCCCCATATGCCTCGGGGAGGTGCCCTCGGCTGACGGCTGCGCGCACCTTGGCCAGGGGCCCGCGCCAGTCCTCGACGCCGCGGCTGCAGCCCACGGGCGGTGCAGGGCCGATCGGTCGCGGGCGGGCCCCTCGCCACCCGTGCCTGCAACGGAAGATCCTGCGCGTGCATCTCCATTGCGACGGGCAGGTGCCGCTTCGTCGTGCCGTACTCGTCGACCTGCGGCCTGCCAAGCCTTGGAGCGAGGTTGGCTGCGAAGAGGAAGTAGTCCAGCGTTGACAAGGCCCCAGCGCGCGGCCTGCAGGCGGCATCCTCTGCCTGCCGCCGCCCGCAGCCCGCGGACCCCGTGGAGCTGCTGCACAGGAAACCTCGCGGGCTCCATGTTGAAGTCACCGCCCACGACCCAGTCGATCCCAGCCGCGCTGAGTTCGGCCAGGTACTTCATGAGAACGGCCGCCACGCGCTGGCTGTCCGCGCTCCACCCCCCACACTGTCGTGGAAGTACGCAGGGATAGCGACGAACCCGCCCGCCACTGCCCAGTGCACATGGGCGGCCGCCAACCTCGCGGCCAGAAGCACGGGGCTCTCCAGGAAAAGCGGGCTGGTGATTGTGATGTGCGAGCGCGCCAGCACCGCCACCCCGCCAGAGGTGCCTGCCTCGCCGCGGGCCCCCTGGACAGCTGGCGCCCAGAGCCTCGCGTACCCGTGGTCCAGCATGGCCTGCTGCACGGCGGCCAGCCGGTCGTGGTCCTTGGCGTGGTGCTCCTGGACCAGGAGGACCACGGCCTCTGTCCGCTCGCAGATGCCCTCGACGCGCGGCGCCAGGGACCCCCCCGCCGTCACGTTCGCCGCGAAGATGCCGCCCTTCGCCATGGCGCCAAACCGCGCGCTGAGGAACAGCAGGATCCTCGTGAGGCTGGAAGCCCCCGCTGGCCAGCGCAGCGCAGCGGGCGCGCACGGCTGACTCCTCGCCGCCTTCGAGCTCCAGGCCATGCTTCCGCAGCCGCTGCTGGAGCTGCTCCACCGACTCCTCCTCGGGCTGCCAGCGCGGCACGACGGCGGGGCCGCTGCCGCTCCCAGGCGCTGCTGCCTCGGGCGCTGGTTGGGGCTGCCCGTCCCGCTCAGCGCCCTCGCGCACCACTCCTGCGGTGCTGGCGAGGTCCTGGCCGGCGCTGGCCTGCTCCTCAGAGGGGGCCTCCTCGCGCCGCGCCCGCTTGGACATGCGCAACTCCGCAATGCGCTCGCCCAGCGCGCCTGCCATGCGCTTCTGCGCCTCCGCTGGCACTGGCTGCTCCTCGTTCGGGTGGGCCGAGGGCTGCTGCAGCGCGACGGCCTCCAGCTCGCCCGCCGTGATGCCGAGCCCGCCGATGACGTCCTGCGCCATGGCCTGGCGCGCATGCCGCGGCGGTGGAGCCTGGGGCGCCTGCAGCTGCAGCTGCGCCAGCCCAGCCTGCAGCGCCACCTGCTGATCCAGGAGGTCGGCATGGGCCGCGCTCAGCCTCCTCCAGCCCGCCGTAAGGCCTCCTGCGCCTTCCGCTTGTTGCCCTCCGCCTTCTCCAGGCGCTCGGCGCGCTGCTTGGCCTTGTTGGCGATGGCATGCGTCCGTGCGCGGAGCGGCTTGCTGGCGAAGGGCCGCGCCTTGGCCTTCTCCAGCCTGGCGCGCAGCTCCTCCCGCGGCGCCGTGGCCCAGTCCGCCGTCTGATCCTTGATGGCGTGCAGGCCCGACTCGCACATGTGGATCTCGGCGAGCACCGCCGCGTCGCCAGCGCCAGCGCCTTCGCCGTCGTCGACCTCCATGGCCTGCGCCCCGCCGAGCGGCCCGCCAGCGCTGGCGGGCCCACTGGCCTTGAGCGGCTTCTTGAGGTCCGCCAGCTCGCGCTGCGCCTGGGCCAGCTGCGCCGAGAGCGGCGGCCCGGCCCAGGGAGGGGCCTTGCCGCTGCCGCCGCCAAGTGCCGCGCCCGACTTCGTCTTCGACTTGGCCGCCGCAGGGAACGGGGCGTTCGCCCCGAAGCACGTGGTCTTGGGCAGCCTGCGGCCCTGACACTTGAGCGCCGCCCCCCAGTTGACGACCGCTCGCCCTCTGTTGCTGACGCAGGACTTGCACGTCCAGTCCTGCCGCGCAGCGCCCTTGGCCCGCGGCGCGCCGCCAGCCATCTTGCACTCGTTGTCGCTCTCGCCGCCGCGCCTCCAGTGCCCGCCAACGCCAGGAACCGCCCGCGCGCTGGCACAGGCGATGGTCCTAACGTGAGGGGACAGGCCGCGCGAAACGAGAACTGCCGCGGACTAGCGGCATCCGTTTGGCCCCCGCGGGAACCGCCCATCTTGAACCAAAATGGCTGCGAAGAGGAGGGGGATGAAGAAAAGGAGGAGGAGGAGGAGGAGGAGGAGGAGGAGGAGGAGGAGGAGGACCAGTGTAAACCCAAGAGTCATTCACGATGTTGGAGTGAACCCTCCCTCCAAGCCTTCTTCATGGGGCCTTACAACGGCTCATCTCCATTGAGGGAAATGCCTTGTTAGAAAACAACAGTTTGAAGATCCCGAAGCGTGCCACAACATTGTTCTCGGGAATCTGACGCCACGGATCACCCTGACTGTTGCGTTTTGACGATCCGGAATCGTACCAAAACGCCTTGTTTGGGGCTTCGACACCACGAATCGACATAACTGTGGCGCCCGCATAATCCTGAGTCCTTCCGAAGCACCATTTTTCATACGTTGATCGTGGGAATCCGTGACAGTGTTTGTACATTTGTCACACGAGTGTGCGCGGCGCTAAGGCGAGAGCAACATTCTGAAAACGACCCCCCTGTCAGTCCGTGAAATTCTTGAAGTTTTTTCAAACGAATGTGCGCGGCGCTGGGGCGAGAGCCACATTCTGAACATAAGCCGCCCCCAATCAGGG